TTCCATATTTTTTTTTGATAACCGTGGATGTCAAGGCCAGCTTGCGTGCACCTGGACTAATCCTACGGAACCTTGAAGTTTACGGACGGGTACTCACCTCAGTGGTCCTGAGAGTTTGCCCATTCCATATAAAACTATTTTAGCCTTTAATATTGAACAAAAATTATTCAATAGATCAACTTTAACTTGGAATGAAAAAATACATAATGCTCTTGTTTGGCCCCCATTAAATTAAATTACATTACATTACATTAAATTTTTTTCTCTTTTCATTTCAACCACATATTCATCAAATAAAATAATATTACACACAAATCAAAATATTTTCAACTACACATTCTCCCATCAATCACTATCTAAAAATTTTCAACCCTAAAAAATGCAAAATAATGGGGGCCAAACAGGGGCAATAATTTAAGTTAATAAGTCAAAATATGCTTTGGAAGATGAAATAAATTATTAAAATGTGGATAAAAGCATACAATGTGTGGGTAAACAAGTGAAAATTAATTATTCAAGGTTTTAACTTTTATATAAAATAATTTTAAATGTAAGAGTTGAAATAATGTCAGGGTTTAAGTCTTCGTCCCTTATCCATTGTTGGGAGCCTCTCCCACCATCCACACAATCGCCTCTCTCTTCGGGGTTTCAGCCTACGTTGTATCCTCCCTCTTACCTCTACCCATTCACATATGGCACATTTTAGTAACAACAGAATGAAAAGTGCAAACTTTAGAAAGGGCTATGCCTGACCTTTGGAAAAGAGAGCAAAAATAGAACTTATGCCGCTTAGAGACAACTTCATCCCAATTCAAGATTTCATGCATTTTCGGTTAATCCTTTTTCTTTATTTTTTGACTTTCTGATTTTTTGTGATACAACCTGGCATTTTTGACACGTCAACCATATGTGGAAGCGTGTCAGTGCCTAATACATTTCCAACACAGACTTGTCAGCTATAGTAGCTTGTCCGTGCTTCATAGGTGCTACTTGACATACAACCTTCAGATTTCAAGAACTCCTCAAAGTTCTAATTTAAGACTCAAACCCTATTTTGTTTCACCAACTAAAATTATGTCATCAGTGAATAGCACACACCACAAACAGTGACCTCATCCCAACTATGTAATGTAAGCTCATCCACGAATAGTGTTAAAAAATTAAAACCTTGATTTTTTTCCTTTAGGGTAGAGAACTACAACTACGGCCACTACAACTCCCACTCACATTTGTGACTCGACTACTGCATTATGCATGTACTTAATAACATTGATATGTTTAACTGGAATTCATTCTCTCTCTCTCTCACCCACCATGGCACTTCAATGTGATAAAGAGTTTCATAAGGACATAAATAAAAACAATAGTTTCCAAAGTCCCAAAGGTTATTTGGTAAAATCAGGAAACTCGGATGCAATTTGGAAGTTTTAAATTCTCACCATAACTGCTGCTGAATATATTATATGTGAAGTAGCTATCCATGCAGAAAACTTCAAGCGATCATATAGGAAGAAAGATAAACTATGGACGACACTTTTAGACCTAAAACCTTTTTTATAGGTACAAGAAGATTTAGGCCTTGTTTGAGCCCCAAATTTCACAAAAAATTGGTTTTGCAATGGTGA